TTATCAAAAAAGTTCTTGCCTAAGATGTTTACTAGTTTATCAAGAACAGGGTTGAGTTCCATTATTTCTGATTCTTCCAATTCTAGTTTGCTCTATTGACCTACCTCTCTAATTTTTAACCACTACCAGATAATTTTGATGGCAGCTGTTTTGTAACACAGTTTGCAATCTGGAAGTTTTCTTTTTCTTGTTTTACTGCTATCACTAGCATTTTCAGAGCTATATCAAAGAAAAGTGGGTAGAGTGAGGACCCCGTATTTATTGGAAAAAGTTCTAGCGTATCCCCATTTCACATAATAGCTGCTTTTGGTTTTAGATACATGTTTTTATGATATTAAAAAAAGGATCTCTATGCTTATACTTTGTAAGGTTTTTAGCATAAATGAGTCCTATACTTTGTCAAAGGTTCTTTTATGCATATATTGAGATAATCATATGGTTTTGGTTTTTGTCATTATGTTGTTTTCCAAATGCTCAATCATCCTTACATCCCCAGTATAAATTTCACTAAATCATAAATAAATGTTTTCTTGGATAAACTGCTGTAGTCTGTTTGACATGATTTTGTTTAAAAATTTTTAATCGACATTCATTAATAACATTGATCTATAATTCTTCTGTTTCTATCCTTCTCTGGTTTAAGTATTAGGACTATATTTCATAAAAGGTTTTTGTTAGGGTGCTTTCTTTTTTCAATTTTTGATACTAACTTGTTAAATATAGGTACCAATTATTCTTCGGAAGACTGAAAGAATTCTCTTATGAATTCATCAGGATTTTTGTTCATTGGTAATTCTTCTTGGAGGCAGCTACATAATGTAGTGGATAGAGTGTTGGGTCTGGAGTCAGAAAGACTCTTCTTAGGGGCAGCTAGGTGGCAAAGTGGATAGAGCACTGGCCCTGGAGTCAGGAGGACCTGGGTTCAAATCCAGCCTTAGACACATGATACTTATTAACTGTTGTGACCCTGGGCAAGTCACTTAACCCCAACTGCCTCACAAAAAAAAAAAAAGACATCTTCCTGAGTGCAAATCCAGTCTCGGACATCAGCTGTGTGACTCTGGGCAAGTCACTTAACCTGTTTGCTTCAGTTTCCTCATTTGTAAAATGAGCTGGAGAAGGAAATGGCAAATCACTCCAGTATCTTTGCTGAGATAATTCCAAATGGGGTCACAAAGAGTTGGACACGACTGAACAACAATTATTTTTTGAACTGGTGATTCAGAAGATAGAGAGCTGGGACTGGAGTCAGGAAAACCTGAGTTCAAATCTGACCTCAGACGCTTACTAGCTGTGTGACACTGGGCAAGTCACTTACCATCTGTTTGCCTCAGTTTCCTCAAGTGTAAAATAGAGATAATAATAGCACTTATCTTGCAGGGCTGTTTTGAGGATCAAATGAAATAACATTTGTACACAAGTGCTTAGCACAGTATCTGTCACACAGTAGGCACTATATAACTGCTTACTTCCGTGTATTTCTTTTTTTCAGATTGGGCTACTTAAGATCTCTATCTTATCTTCTGTCAGTTTAGGTATTTTACATTTTTGAAGGTGTCTTTGTGTTCTTTTGTATTCTCAGTTCTGTTAAGACATAACCATGCAAAGTAGGCTCAGATCATTCTTTTTATTTCTACTGTTTTTATTAAAATTTCAGTTTGCTCATTTGCTACTGTGCTGATTTTATTCTCTGTCCTCTTTTTAATCAGATTGGCTAAAGGTTACCAATTTTATACGTCCTTTCAAAGAACAAGCTTTTAAGGTTTTTTAAATTATTTCCAGGCTTTTTTAGTTTTCAGTTTATCATCTAATTTTTACATCTCTTTTATAATGCTGATTTTAGTTTATGTTGGCTCTTAGTTTTTTTAATGAATATTCAATTAATTAATTTTCTTCTTCTAATTTATTAATGTATATTTATATTAATATGACCCCCTGAAGATTTCTTTAGCTACATCTTCATCACCTTCTTTCATGTCATTATTAATTATTTCTATGACTTGTCTGATCACCTTATTATTTTGGATTTCATTGTTAAGTCCCCATTTAAGTATGTGTTTTTTGTTTGTGATCCCTGAATTGATTATTATTTTTATTGCATTACTGTATATAAATTTCTGTCTCTTTACATTTGTTTGCAGTATCTCTGTGTCCTAATATATGGTCAATTTTTATAAATTCCATCTAGTAAAAATATGTAGATTATTTTGCAGTCCTATTTGGAAGATGCCATGTCTTTTAGTTCTAGTTTTTCAGTAAATTATTCAGTTCTACATTTTCCTTTCTGTATATCCTTCTTATCCAAAACTGAGAAGTAGCTCTATATCTAGAGGCAACAAGAGCTTCTCTCCCATAGTAAAGTTCCAGTGGAGATACCTTGGAATTCACCAGGAGCAACACCAACCAGTGAAGTTGATGGAATACTTGGATGACGATGCCTCAGGCCAAGGGGCTACAAGGTCTTTAGCATTCTGTCCTGAAGAACCAGAGAAGACCTTTAAGATCCAGTGCTCTGAACTTCAAAGATCCAGAGAGCCAAACTTCAGAAGGTAAGGCTCAGAAGCAGCAAATGAGTCAGGTCATTACCAAGCAAAGATGACAACCTCACCCAAAAGTGTAATAGAGGGTAAAGCCTGGCCCTGGCACAAAGCCCCACCAATTCAGGAACTAAGGATGAAGAACAGAGGAAACTGAAGATATAGAAGACAAAAGAATTAGGATGAAATTCTTTCTCATTTTATTAGAAAGAATAGAATAGACAATAATCAATGCATTTTGAGTATTCTAAGGACTTAATATGTATGTTCCAGGCATTGTGCTAAGGCTAAGAAAAGCAAAAGCACTGCTTCTGCTCGTAGGATGCTCACACTGTCATGGGAGAGTCAATACGTGAACTATGTACATACAAAATATACTCAGTGTAAATGAGAGGTAATATCAGAAGGAAGGTATGTGAAGAAGGGGGTGACTGGGGAGAAGATTCTTGCAGAAGGTGGGATTTGAAAAAAAAAAAAAGAAGAAGAAGAAGGTGGGATTTGAGTTGAACTCTGAAGGAAGGCAGGGAAGCCATGAGGTAAAAGTGTTCAAGAAGGAGAGCATTCCAGTTATGGGGGAAGTAAAGTGTAAGAAGACTAGAAAGGTCAGAAAGGGACAGGTAGTGGATAGCTTTAAAAGCTGAACAAAAGATTTTATATCTGATGCTGGAACAGTAATAGGGGCCCACTGGATTTTATTGAGTAGGGGGTAACATGATCAAACCTGCGCTTTAGAAAGATCATTTGGCAGTTGAGTGGAGAGCTCTTCAGGTAGGGAGACCTAGTGCAATTAATTAGTCCAGACATGAAGTGATGAAGGCCTACCATGAAGGTGACAGTCATGAGAGAAGAACAGATCCAGAGAAACACAAAAATCCAACCTACAAGGGAAGAGTATATCCATAACAACTGTAAGCAGAAGTTAAAAGGAAAAAATAAGATTTTTCACAACAACTAAATAAGTATGTAAAAGAAAATGAAGTCAGATATTAAAAAAAAAAAGCTCTGAGGGAGGAAAAAATTGAAAGGGGACTAGTTTAGAACAACTAGTAACCCAAATAAGAGAATTCTTGAAAATGAGAATAAAGAAAGAAAAACCAATTACTCCATGAGTCAGTAAGAAATACTATAACAAAATCAAAAGACTTGAAAAAAAAAAAAAAGAAAATGTAAAGTGCCTACGTATCAGAAACACTGAACTGAAACGCTGACCTGCAAAAACAGTTCAAAGAGAGATAATTTTAAAATGACTGGATTTCCTGAAAGTCATGGTTTACAAGAAAAAAGAAAAAAAATTAAATTAAATTTAAAAAAATAAGACTGGATACTTTATTTCAAGAAATCACTAGTGAAAACTACCCAGATCTATTATAGAATCAGAAGGCAAAGGAGAGAAGGAATCCACCAACCATGTCCTGAAAGAAGCCCCAAAAGGAGAAGTCTGAGAAATAGTATAACCAAAATTCAGAGCTTATATGTCAAAGGAAAAACATTACAAGCAGCCAAAAAGAAGTTCAAAGTACTAAGGAACAGTAGTGAGGATAATAAAACACCTGATAACTTCTATTATAAATGAGAAGAGACCTTGGAATACAATATTCCAAAAGGCGAAAGAGAGAAGCTTACAACCAAGACTAACTTACCCTGCAAAGCTGAGTCTACAGGGGAAAATGGACCTTTAATGAAATAGAAGACTTTCAAACATCTTTGATGAAAAGACCAAAGCTGAGCAGGAACTCTGAAATGCAAACACAAGTATTTGTGAAACCCAGTAAGATATATTCATTTGAGCAATTGTGAATGGGTTGTCTGATGATGCAGTGCTAACATTTTAAAATGAAGAAAAAGCAAAAACCTTAATGTCTTCAAAGCATATTGAGGGAGTTAAATAAGAAAAACAAGCATTCTGAATCACATTTTTCAGGAGGTTCTGAGATTTTTAAGAAGGGAAAGAAACAGGACTTGCAGAAAGGAGAGGTGACATGTTCAAGGTCATAAGGGTAGGAAACGAGAGAGGCAGGAACTGCATCTAGGCCTTCTGATTCCAGACCAAGCACTCTTTCTACTGTACCATGGCTGTCTCTCATGCCTCATTCAAAAGATATGAAACTTGAAAGGACCTGGGAGGTCTTTTCCAACTCCACTGTTTCATTACGGAGGAGGAAACTACAAAAGTTCTTTTCAATGTTACACAGAAATGAAGTGACAGAACTAGGACTCAAATCCAGGACTTTTTCTGCTACAGGAAAAAAAGAGACTATGGGGAAGAATCTGAAGTAAATTATCAAATTCTCTGAAAACACAGTCCATAAGTACCCTGCTTTATTTACTAAGTATCATCAGAAAGGAACAACCTTTCTCCTGAAGACAGCAAGTCAGTTAAGCAGACACTACACAACAGAATGACATTCAGATCTCTTGCCCCAGTACTTAATTCTGGTGAACCTGGATCATGAGGATACTCACGTTTTCTCTGCTCCTCATCTGACTGAAGAAGGATCCAAATATCAATGAATCTGTCCAATCCAAATGATTTAGTTCCCTGAAAAAGTTTTTGGGGGAGGTTTAAAGGTTTGGATTTTTCAAAAGTAAAACAAAATAAAGCAAATATATTGGAACTCTGAAACAAAATGATTTTTCAGAAACAAACTTGAACTCTAAAGGAAGCATAAAACAGACAGGTCAAGACTGAAAGTGATTACTGGGCTATGTTATAGATTGAGAACTTGGGGTAGCCAATTTGTTTTTTTTTTTTCATTTCAACTATTAGCTCCTCAAAGTCCTTGACAAAGACAAGGCCTCTGTTCTATACCTTTGTTTCCTAATTAGTTAAAGGAATCTACTTTCTAGGAACACGTGCTGGCACAATGTAAATATGAATGGTAAGGCAAATAATTAAGTACACGCATCTGTCATCATATCTTTGGGAGGAGGGTACTGTTAGAGAAATCTTGTGTCATACTTCATTTAAAAAGATAAACTCAAACAAGCAAGGCCTGGGTCCATTTAATTAAATTTAATTCAACTCTTGCTGAGTACCTACTATGTGCTCCATAATGCTAGATGCTGTGGCGACCCAGAAAGAAGGGCATTGTGTTCTCCTTCTCTCCAAACATGAATGACTTTAGGCTAAACAGCCACATACGCTTCTCAGTATCTGGGTTCAGCCTATCCACAACTAAACAAAAACATTTTGTCCGGTTCTACTTGAATAGCTAACCACAGAATGTAAACAAGTTAGCCAGCACCATTTGCAAGGCTAATGAGACAAAAAACAAGTTGCTTTCTGAAGGGTATAAAAGTCTGTTTTAAGCTCAGTTTCAGGTGGTTCCTGAATAAAGCTTCTTCTGACCTGACCCAAAACATGAGCTACAGGCAGCTACAGCATTTGCAAAAGAAGTTTATTAAATGGTCTATGTCCTGAAGGAACTCACAATCTTCTCAGGGAAACAAAGCACATATACACATAAAATAATCAGAAAATATCAGAAACTATACAACACATTATGTAATCAAGTTCTATAACATAGTACAGTCAGTTGTGTTATGAACAGTCAAGAAGGGAAGAAATCAACTGGATTTTGTACAATGTTTAAAAAGCATTATTTTTATTACAATGAACAAAAGATTTGGAAAATATTAGTGTTTTGGATTTATATAATACAGCAACTTCCCTTCAGAAACCTAATCTCACCCAATCTTTCCAAATTTTCTATGAAAAAAAGATACTGGTAATATTCTTAATAGCTACGAAGTGATTTGTCCCATGGGAAGTAGAGTCAAAAGCAGAACTATAGTTTCTAGCTTCCAAACTCTCAATTCAAAACTCTATCCACCTGATTACAGTATTGCTTTTGGGTTATATGAAGTCATCCCGATCAATTCTGTAGCAATGAATAATGATAACAAACAGCTGGAGATTCAAAAAAGAAGTGTATGTGTGAGATGAAGGCCTATATTTTTATAACAGCAGGTACAGAAGGGCCCTTCAGTCATTGAAATTCAATATTTAGTCAATATAAGCTGGTCTGCTAGTAGAAGAAATTTCCATCACATTACTACCTAACTGATAAATGGAAGAGATCAACAACAGAAATTTCCAACAGTCAAATAAATACTTCATCTTCCATAATTTAGTTAATCAATTTAGATCTCTTGTACCAGGTATTTATTTTTCTCTCACAGGAGAAAGCATGCTTCTCTGAAAAGTTTCAGTGCATAAAGCAGCCAAAAGAAATTCACTCTTACCCCAATCAAATATATTCTTGAGGGAGCTTTCCCTTCTGTCACCCGTACTGCTTCATCAAATACACTCGCATTGGTTCGGCACAACAAGGCAACTTGTCCTTCTGAACTGCCTCTAATGCTACCTTTTGAGAAAGAAACATATATTCTATGGTAATGAAAAAAATTAATTTTTAGAACCCATAAACCAGAGGAACTAGAATCTTACTCTTTTGGTTTCCCCCAATCAAAGTCTTCTTCCTGACTTTCTTGCAAACATCCAAGATAGTGGCTCCCACATAAGCAATTTCAGCACCAAACCTAAAACTCTGTTAAGAAGAGTCAAGAGGGCAAATGAATTAGTAGCTGCATCCCAGCATACAACACATTCCTACCAGTCAGTGACATCAACAGCAAATTAATAAAGACATGCACTAGAATTCTCAGCATTTAAAGGAGTATAATTTCTAGTATGTTAGTTAGCCAAACTCTTTTGCTTTGCTAAACATAATTTCTGATTCACCCTACGTGGAACAGATATTTGGAAAATTTTTAAAAAATAAAACTACCTGTATCATTTACTTTTGGTATTTCAAGGATCTATAATTTCTTCAGTGGTCATAGTAAGCCTTTTATCACTCAGTAGGTAAGTTTTGGAAGGTTGCCATGGCTGACAAATTCACTACTCTATAAAACCAACCTGGAGAGGAACTTTTTCAACCTTAGAGAGACTGGTCTTTGTATAATAGATAGGCAATCCACTACTAGGCCCACTTTCCACTAAAGTCCTACCTTTACATACCTAAACATGACATGAAAGTAACTCTAGGTTTTCAAAGGCTATACCAATAATAATAATGATAGCCCGCATTTGCATAGTGCTCTAAGGTCTGTCAACTGCTTTATAAATTTGATCCTTACAGCAACCCTGGGAGGCAGTTGCTATTATTATCCCCATTTTACCAATGAGGAAACTGAGGCAAGAAGAGATTAAGAGACTTGCCAAGCTTCACAGAGCTAATAAGTGTCTGAGGTAGGATTTGAACTCAGGTCTTCCTGACTCCAGATTCAACATTCTACCCACTGTACCACCTAGCTGCCTGTATGCCAGTAGACTGCTCTAGCATGTTAGAAAGTCTTCAAATATGAATCTGATGATGTGCTCTAAGTAGAGTCTGGTTATTACGTAGTCTCCCAAGAAACTATTAACTTTATTTTTAAATCTTTCAAATACCACTCTCTCAATCATCTAAGATTGAAACCTCAGATCCATTTAAAAATGTTTCATGAGGTAGTAAGTTCCTAGTCATTGAAGGCATTCAAGTAGAATCTGGATGTAGACAGTATGGTACAGTGAAAACAATGTCAGAAACTCTGAGTTCAAAACCTTAAGAAAGTTGGAGATGTTACAGGATGTTACAGAAGGGATTCATTGGACTGGGAGTGGGGATGGGGAGGCATGGTAAGGTAGGGGAGCGCAAAAGGAGTGGCATAAAATCTAATTCACCTCCAAGATACTTTGATGTTATGATTCTTTGACATCTCCCACCTCCCTCCCTTATGATCCAAATTTTTTCAATTTTATCCTTCATTATGTTTCTCACCTACATTCCTTCACGTTGACATCATAGCATCATAGATCTAGAGTTGGATCTTCACAAAATCACAGATTTTAGAGGCTATCTAGCTTAACTCCCACATTTTACAGATAAGTAAAATGAAACCCAGATATTAAATTACTTGCCCCAAGTCATATATGTAGTAGACACTGGAAGTAGAATCTGAATCCAGAACTTCTGTTCCCCTGGCTGTGTTATTTCCATTAGGCCACATTGCTTCTCTAATTTTGGTTAAGGACCTATTCTCATACAAGCACTACATACACATTCCCCTTTTTGTGTTCTATCTACCATCCTCTAGACCAAGAGTTCTTAACCTAGGGTCCAAGGATTCCCAAGTAATCCAAGTAGATTAATTTCAGGAGAAACCCATGAACTTGGATGGGGGAAAAAAATTACATCTTTCTTTTAATATAATTGATTTCCTTGGTAATCCTATTTATCTTATGCATCTGAAAACAATTTTCTGACAGCCAAAGAAATCTATGACAAATAAAAAAAAGCTAATAACTTTCAAAACTACCTCTGCATACCATACCAGATACCTGACACACCTCTGTTCTCCGCCGTTTTCAAGAATTCATGTCTATGTCAGTTTGCTATCTGGCTCTGATACTGGGCCAAGTAAACTTTAAGTCATCTGAGGACTCCTCTTACCCCCAAATCAGGACAATTCATTTCCATAACTACCAACTGCCATGCATCCGTGTTCTGGTCAACCTAGGCTATCGCTGTTTTCCAATTTCACCTTGCCCTCATGGCTTCTTCCCTTTATGCTCACCATTCCCCTATGTCCCAACTACTGTAAAGATGCTACCGCCATGAAGCCTTCCCTAATGCTTTCCTCTAACCTCCCAAAAGAATCCTCTTATGCCTCTCTGTTGGTTCTATTCTGTTCACTTATGTCATTCTAACTTTTATTACAGTTATTGGTGTGTCATCCCAAAACACACACACACACACATACAGAGCTTCTTGTGTTATTTTTGTATCTTCAATGTAGAGCACACAGCATTCTTAATAAATGTCTGTTGATACAAAAATTGTGGAGGCTTCAGGATCTGCTTGACTGACTGGTTCTTTTTAATTCTTAGCTACAATCCTGCAAGCTTCGATGCAATTGAATGAAAAATTCTTACTTCAAATAGGTTTCGTTCCAAATACAATGTTTGATTGATTGTGCTATGAAGACAAACAATCTTATCTTGTAATGGGTCATACAAGAACATATGTGAGATGCCTAAAGTGACTGCAAGGACAGCCAAGCCAAAGCAATAGGTATGGCTTATAGGAGACTCAGTAGGGCTGGATACATTGTATCAAAAGGAAAGTTATAACAGTGGATTATGATGTGGCTACAGGTACTGCCAGAGCCCCAGTTCCTTTCTAAACACCGCTGGACTTCCAGGTACAGGAAGGCTAGTGTTTATACAGAGAGGAAAGCTACAATGCATACAAGTTGTACCTAACAATCCTCCCCAGAAGGCCCAAACTATGCAAAGAAGGTAATCAAATGGATTTTTGCCAGCCCTTAAGGAAGAGAACCACAAAAAGAGTAGGCTAGAATCGAAGAGATTTGGGCACACATTTCAGGCCCATAACTTAACAGAATTTCATTGCCCTCCTTATAGCCTTTACCTATTCACAGATGGACAAACAAAAGGGTAAATGGAGGAAAGCACAATTAAAAAAACAAACATAAAATTGATGCTTTGAGAGTAGGGAAAGTTCTTACCTGTGTGAGATAGAAGAGATGTGTGTGTGGCACTGCAAAAAGGGCATTAATAGCATACCGAAAGGTGTAGATCTGTTGGTGTGGGTCCCCTACAAAGATTTTTCCACATGGCTGGGATAGAATTATGTCTATGATGGCTACAACCAAAAAGGAGAAGAGAGTACGATCTCAAGGGACTACAGCCAATAAAACAAGAATAAATAATACTTCATAAGGAACAGAAGAAAAGGAATCTTGTAAGCTCCAGCCAGCACATGATGTATCCCTTGTTCTTCTCTTCTCTTAAGAACTAAGTATATGAATCAAAATCAAAAATACTATAAACATTCATGTAGTTTATCAGTAACATGTGACAATTTGCAACGATGCAAACATTTACTAAGCATAGGTATTCCTAGAAAACAAGTTAATGCATTCTGCTTGTTTTATCCCAATTGGAAACCAACAAGATCCCTCAGAGAATTACATTCACATATGCATGCACATTGTACATTCACATGTATTATCCACATGGGCATTATATTATCTGTAACAAAATTTTCATCCTAAGATTACTGACCCTTTGCCATCAGTTGACTGGTTCTTGGGGAACCCAGATATATTTTAATAATGTTAACTGAAGCAAAACACAAGCAAGAAGATAAGCATATTTATCTTTACATGATATACTTCAAAGTAGGACACAAATGGTTTTGGGATGACTTATATCACTGCTCCCTTTTCAAGCATGAATAATAATTCATATTTATATGGCTCTTTTAGGTCTATGAAAAACTTTCCTCAGAACAATCCTATGAAGCAAGTACCATTTTACAGAAAAGTAAATTGAGGCTCAGATACAGTGAAACTTACACATGGTTAAAAAGGGTGAGAGGCAGGATTCAAAGCCAAGTATCAACTGTCTCATAAAAATGGGGGTGGGAAGGTCTTTAGGGTTTATAAAGTATTATTATGCCTATTTTACAGATGAAGAAACCAAGGCCTAAAATGTTTAAGAGAATTGTTCAGGGCTGTACATTCAGTGTCAGTGTCAGAGAATAATGACTGTTAACTGTAATTTCACACACCTATATTCACATACACATATGTGTATATGTAGCAATTATACATACACACATATATGTACATATAAACACACACATGTATGTCTATATGTATACATGGAGAGGGAGAGAGAGCAAGCACACAATTTCTACTTATTTTAGATTTATTTCCTTTATTTATCACCTGGAGTACAGTCCTGGGCCTCATCCACGAAGACAGCATCATAAGCACCAAAAGAAGGCTTGCTAAGTTGCCAAAGCTTCAAATAGCCTAAAAGAGACAAGAGGTTATGACTCAAATCTCCAGAGTAAACAAGTCATATTCCATATGTCAGACTTATGTTAAGACTTCCCATACCATCATGAGTCATATGATAAGCCTCTTCTCTGCATTCTTCTAACTTTTTCATGTTCTCCCAAAGTCTGGCTGCTTCATATGCACCATTCTAGAAAGCAAAGTATATAGTATCAAAGACTGAAGGCAATAAAAGAGAGAAGACCCTGTAACTATGTAAATCAGGTTTCAAAATTAAGGCAATGGGCACAGCCTAGACCAGTTTCTTCCAACCCAAACTATAATTCTGATTGGGAAAATATCCGAATTCTGTGTGGACTTGTCTATCTTCTATAACCTCAGAGTCTAGGAGTCAAGGGTAGTAAGACTAGAATACAAGAAGAAGAAAACAAGGAAGAGGAAAAGTAGAACACACAGAAAAAGAAGAAAATGAAAGTTTGTTTTTTAAAGTTTATAGGCTATTAAAGGACAAAGTTTTGCAGACCAGTAACTGACTGATTCATCAAAAGGACATGATGGGTACAGAGAGCGTCAAAGCCCTTCTTGTGGATGGTTGTACTTGATGAGCAGTTGCAGATTCTGTCCCTAACTCTGACACTGTACATAATAAACAACGTACACAGTATTTCCATATACTGACATTAACATGAAGGCAGATGTGAAAAATTCATAAAAATGGAAGAAAGGCTCTAACATAAGCAAAGCCTCTATGAAAAACTAAATAATAATAGTCTAAGCAGGCAGTGTGCTGTAGAGTCCTGGATTTAGAAAGTCAGAGGTCCTAGGTTCAAATCCTGACCACCACTTACTACTTACGTTACTCTGGCAAGGCACTTAAGCTCTGGGCCCCTGTTTATTCAATTATAAAATGAGGTCTAAAGTCCCTTCATATTCTAAATCAGAGCTTCTTAAGCTGGGATCCAGGAATCTGTTATTTTAAAATATTCTGATTACCGAACTTCAGCATAATTGGTTTCCTCTGTAACCTTATATATCTTATTTTATATATTAAAAAATGTTCTGAGAAGGGTTCCATAGGCTTCACTAGTTTGCCCAGGAGGTCCATGATAACAAAAAAGATTAAGAATCCCTGCTTTTAATCTATGATCCTATGATCCTAAACTTTCAAGAGCCAAGGAAGAAAATTCAAGACAGTTCCAAGTCATCAAATCACCTGCAAATGTAGCTCTTGGAAGACGGAATGATACACATGAAAAATTTAAAGAATTAGTCTCGCCACTCATTTATTTAATATTCAAACATTTTAAAGTACATCTTAAGTGGTAATAACAATGATAAAAGAAATAGCTAGCAATTAGCTAGTGCAGCTCAAGACTAAACTAAGACTTTTGGGACAACCTGGATAGAACTTTAAGGTTTGCCAAGCATTTTATACACACTAATTTGATTCTAGGTATAAGACACTATGCTTGAAAATGCGGATAGAAAGGTTTAAAAAAACAAACAGTTCATATCCTAAAGGAGCTTATATTTTATTTAGAAGGTAGTGAGAAGAGCTTCAAATTGCTTTAGAAAAATCTAAGGAAGGAAAGATATTTTCTGCTTAAAGAATTAGGATAGTCTTCAAATAAAGAGTTGTACCTGAGTTAATGCCTAAAGGAAGAAAATCATTCTGAAAGCCAGTGAAAATGCCATGAGGGATGGCATATAAGAACACAAAAGCTGGAGACAGCATATCAAGTTCAGGAAACACCCTATGTGAAATAAGGCTGAAAAGGCAGTAGACTGAATTCAGGTCATTAGGGATATTTTATCTTATAGGTAATTGGAAAGGATTGAAAGTCTTATGAAGAGGTGAATGGCATAGTTCAGTGCCTCAGGAAGATTATTTTGGCAATTCTGTAAAGGACAGATTAGAAGAACCCATAAGGAGGGAGGTAAATTAAGAGACAGTCTCGGTGAGAAGTGCTGAGATTCTGAATGAGGGTGGAAAGGGTGTGAATAGAGAGAACAGTAAAGAGGTAGATGTTGCAAAGATGTCTGGACAAAATAGCCATGAACAAACTTTATTTATATTAGCCATAGTCCATTTGACCCATCCCCTCAAAGGAAGATGAAGAAAATCACGGAAAAAAAAATACTAAAAAATAAGAAAACAAAAAAAAGGTAGTGTCTCTTTGCCAAAATATTTGGTGCTAGTCAGAAGCATTTAATCTACTACTTTTCTGAACAGAGACCCGGACTGAAGGGGGTTATGTTCCAATCCAGAAGTGATTATTGATAAATCAAAATAAATTAATAAATTTTTTTTTAAATGTTCTAATCCAGAGCTGGACATAAAAGTCTCTGACTAGCTGAAAACTACAGAGGCCAAGTAGTATGCTCTCAGTCACATTTGCATCAACACTAATTGACTACCAACTCTCTCAATCTCTCACATGCCCAGTGACTATTCTTAAAGGTTTTTCTTTGTGACAACCACCTGTAAATCCAAAAAAAATCTAGTCTTATTTTTCTTTCTTTCTTTCTTTCTTTCTTTCTTTCTTTCTTTCTTTCTTTCTTTCTTTCTTTCTTTCTTTCTTTCTTTCTTTCTTTCTAGTTTCTAATCTGTCGTTTATGAGGTGTGGGGTTTAAAAGGGACTGAATCAAATGAATGTAACCAAATTTTTAAAAAGCCTATTCTCAGGGCCAGTGAGTTGCAAATAATTATTAAAGAAAAGCCTATAATTACATCATCTCAATAAATTGTTTTTATACTAAAAAAAAAATGGCTGTGAAGCTGGTCACAACTAAGTCTGGTTCTCCTGGACCATTTCAAAACAACAACAAATGCATCAAATAAAAGAGAGACCAAAAAAATGAAGGGGAAAGAACCTTATGAAAATTTTGTATTCCCTTTTATTCAATTTTATTATGTCATTTGTCCTGAATATCTGGCTGTCTCCTGTTAATATTAACTTCATCTGGCTAAAAGAATGATAGTATTGAGGGAAGACTTTTGACATTTCTGAGATAAGAAGCCAAAAAAGAAGGAAAAAGCAAATAAAGCATCTACAAAAATTTTAAACCCTTCAGGGGGATTTAGCTAACTTTGTAAACTTCCTACTTTCAATTTGCCCATTATGACTTCTTTAAAATGTAGCCTTGTAGTTTCCTAAGTAGGAATTTGAAATTCAGTATTTAAATCTGTAACTTAGTCTGTTTACTAATATGCTCTAAGTTAGTCTGCTCAACCATAATTGAAGGAAGCATGAAATAACAAATCTGTTTGACTCGGTTTGTGTGATCTTTTAAAGTTGCTATAAGTTGAAAAATGATCTCTCTGATGAAATTTTTCTCTCATAGCTTTGTCAGAAACTCCAATCTTTGTTCAGGGTTATTTTTCTACCTCCTGAATCTGTGCTTAAGCATAATAAAACCTAGGTTTCTACCTCTAATTTTTTGCACTGTGATAGATTTATTCCATAACAATCTATCACATGAATTCAATGGGGGATAAATATTCTTCCCCCAACAAAACCCTAACAGGAAAAACCTCATAACAGAAATCTCAAAGAAATAAATAAGCATAAGAGGCCCCAATATAGTGATGGAAAAAATAAGGTTACAACAAAGGTACCTCTAAAGGGCAGAATGGTCATACCTTCACTCTCATCCCAGTTCTGTTCATGACTTTCTAGACTTCAAAACCACCCCCTGTTCCTGCTGGCTCATTCTGGAACTTCCCTCAACAGTGGGATCTCCTCAACCTTTCCTTCTACTTGTTTTAATTTGGAATATCCTTCTGCAAAACCCAACCCTCTTCTCCCAATGGTTAAGTTCCTCCTGGAACCTCTATTTGTGGCCTCTGACTTCATTCCAAGTTCCCCACTGGGTCCCTTCACTTCCTGCCCCACCCTGCTCTCTGTCTGTTCCCTTTCACATGTGGTCTTCCCCATCAGAATATAGGCTCCTAGAGGACAGAAATGGGGACTGTGGCTGGGACTGCTTCATGAGTGGGTGGGAGGTGGGGGATCCTTAAGTAAAAATTTTCAGAAGCATATGTATTATAATAGGTATTTATTTCCCTCTCACTTTTGTGATAAGAAGCAATTGCAGGCATCAAACTACAGCAAAAATGACAATCTTCCCTGCCTACCTAAGAATCCAGAGTGATAAGACAGAGAATCATAAAATGAAAGAGTTGGAGGGGACCAGAAAGTTCAGGCTATAAGGAACCTTAGAGTCACTAGAGTACCTGAGCTGAGAATTAGAGCTAGAAGGGAATGTAGACCCCCAGAGCCATGGCATGTCCACTGAAAGAACCTACCATATGCCAGACCCCTTATGTCAGGTCCTTGTGACATAAGCTAACATATTCTGTCGTCAATCCTTTCATTTGACAGATGTGGGAAGCAAGCCCAGAAAGAAGAAAAAACAGCTGGCCAAGGCAACCTAGTGTGTTATTGGCAGATTCAGGGCCAGAATACATGTTGCATATTTCAGGCCAGTGTTTTTCCAGCTATACTTCTGTTCAAGTGTTCTGTAAATCGTGAAAGGCCTTGTTAATTACAAAGCTCTATACTCTCAAAAGTTTTTAGTATAGTGCCTATTATTACAGTAGCCAAAACTAAAGTGTGACTCACTACTTCTGGCCAATCCATGCCATCTCCAAAAGGGAAAATCTGATAACCGCATAATTTAAGTCCTTTTTTATTCAAACAAGCACCACGTTGGAAAAATCCACCTATAGGAGATAGGGTGGTGGCACACTGTTATGATTTCGTTCCATGCTAAGTTTGGTAGAAAGCTAGTTTCCCAGGCCCTAGCAAAAAGCAGTAACAAGTACTGAGACGAGAGAAACTGATTTAAAGAAGGCCTCACTTGTGTACATTCTTACTAAGAGGCCCCACATGACAAAGGCCTCAGGTTAAATATTTAATAATACATTCATATCAAATGTTTTTCATGAAAAAGGAAAAAAAAGCATGTAGGCTCCTCGAGGGCAGGATTTATATCCTCAGAGCTTAGCACATTTAATACGTCTCCTTCCTACCAATCTACCACAGCAATCTCCAGAGAGACTAGAATATTTACACAGCATATAAAGGAAAATAAAACCACCATAATATAAAAATTATCCAAGGATTCACTGATAGGTACTACTGCCAATCAAAACTATTAACATGTAGAAACCAGTTTATTATATGC